CTTCAGATATCCAGCCTAGTGAGAATGTCAGGCTTTGAGAATAAACAGAAACACTGACATCAAAACAAATCTATTCTCACTCTCTGACTAACAGTTCCTCATTTTTCTTTGTACCCTGCAGTCTAACTCTCTCATCAACACAGCTGAGCTGTGTTTCATACATACAGTGTGAAGTTTGGGAGACAGACACTCTTTGTGATCATATTTGAATCCATTAGGTGCATTTTCACTGCCAATTTAATGTGATGTCAGTAAAAACTTGATGTGTGTTGACATTTAAGGTCTTGGGCCTGCCATTCATGATAGCGTGCCTTGATTTCCCCCTGCAGCTGTGCTACAGGAAAACACCCTGAGCACCCCAGATATAACAGAGATGCAAGGTCTCCAGCAGCTGACTCCTTGCTGCATGCCCAGGACCAGCAGCTGCTGCAACCTCTTGGGCCAGCTGGGAGATGAAGTGGAGGTGTGGTCCTGGACCCACCAGGGATCGCAGCAAATAATCAAGTTTTTTCTCATTTGCACCATGTCAGTTGATAATGTTCCTTGTCTGGGCTCTACCACAGTGCCAAAGCAAATGTAAATAAAGTTATTTAACAAGACTGAGCATTAAAAAAATAAATCAAACCATAGCCACATACAACAAGACTGTAATTGTTCATTTCCATTAGGTAACATTGAAAATGGTGACTGGATAACTTATCTCCAGGATAGAAGCTCTAGCAGTAGGAGTAAAGCCAATGTTACTTGAGAGAGAGCCCTGAAGCAAAACTTAGAGCAAATTGTTCCTGTGTTATGAACTACAAACACCCATCTAGAGTGTAGATACCAGAGGCATTCCCAGCAGTCTTCTCTACTACCACATGTGCTATTTGCATGAAAAAATATTTTTATATGCTTGAACGTTGGCACATCAGATTCCCATTAACACCACCAGGAATGACTGCAATTCAATCTCGTGCTCGGTAGCCACCAGGAATCACTTTATTGCAGATGCCAAGAAGGCCAGGACACAACACATGGTTACTGTGGCTCCACTGGCAGCTCTGGTCTTCTCCCAAACTCAACAGAAAGATGCATTTATTGCACTGGGTTTGGTCTACATTCCCCTCTGACCACATGTCACACAGGTGTGTTCTTAGTCAGGACACTGCTGCCCTTCAGGGTGCAGTAAGTCACTGAGCTCATAATTTTACAAATGCCAGCTGGCTCCTGTGCCTGACACTAGGAACATCCACTGGAATGCAGACACACACAGTGGGCATGGAGAAGAGGTACACAGGCAGCCAATTCAAAGAAGGGGAGAGAAAGAGAAAGAAATGGAAGAAAAGATCTGTAAAGATCAATGTCTGTTGTCACAGAAATTACTATGGCAATGAAACCTGAAATTATAATTTGAAATGCTTAAAGCATATAGCTCATCTTCAGAATAAAAAAAAACACTCAGAATAAGAATGTGCCATACCCAGGAACAAATTACTTTATCATCATCAACTACACAATGGGATAAGGATTCTGGCTTCCTGTAGTGGCTTAGATCAAGGGCATGGGTAAAACCTTGGCACAGAGAAGAACTGAGAGGATTCAAGTGGACATAATGAGAGAGCAGCTGCATTGTCCATTTAGAACAACACAGGCCATCAGGAGCCAAGAGCCTTTTTAGAGGGGTTTATACACAAAGCAAGGGAAGTTATTAGAAGGTGGAAAAAAGATGTACATGGATAGCAACTGGTATATGCTTGGCTCAGACACTTGGAACCACAAGGATTTAAGAGAAATCCTATAAAGAGAGACAGGGGAAAGAAGAACACTTCCTTTTGTTCTTTCACAGCACACAGTAGTGTTGTGAACTTTGCTTCTGTAATATATCAAACTTATTTTTCCGCCACACATTGGTTTTTCCTCCATGATATTGCTTTCATTCTGATTATTCTGAGGAATAATTTATGTTTCAGATGCCAAACATCAGTGCACACACCACAGCAAGATGCAAAAGTACTTGATTCTCCTTTATGAGCCATTAATTTCTGCACTTTAAAGATTCTCTCTACAGGAAAAAAACCACCTTCCTATTTTCATTTCAAATGATAAGTACAGAAGAAAAATAAATTCTCAAAGAAACAGACAATTTGAGGATTTCTGACATAAGTCTTGCTGCATAATTTTCTCTTAAGGTTTAAATCATTTGAATACATCAAAACTATATGTATATTCTTTAAAATTCCATTCACATCAGCTAGAGACTGTATCCATCATCTAATGTCCTAATACTATAAATTCTTTCATCATTCCTAGGAGTTTCCATTATATGAGATCTAAGTATCAAATAGCTAGAATCAAGAAACAGAATTTTGCTGCTGTAATAATCCCTCCAGACCTTCTTCATAATGGAATCATAAACACAAATCCTACCATCAACCTTCTGGCTGATGTTTTTACAAAAATGTTATTAAAATTGCCCTTTCATTCCCTCCTTTCTGAGCAGTGGAAATTCTGCATTACTGCTCTGATAGTCTCAACTTCACCATGGTGCAGTTTCAGGTGGAAAAAGAAGGTTTAAACATCCATGGAAACGTCAGCCAAGAGAAGAAACACCGTTACACCAGGTCTGTGTCTAAAATACCAGTCCCAGGTCAGTTCCATCACTCAATGGGATTATATTTTAGCTAAATCACCAAACTAACAGCAGCTATTGAATTGCACTTTCTGAGAACTGGAGCAAGGCAAAAGGGGATTGTTTTTTTTTTTGTACAGCACCTCTGCAAGCTACAATTGAACAGGAACACACACACTTAGCTTTGCATGCAGAGTAGCATATCCATTCCAATGCTGTAACTCCGAGGTTAAGCAGGTGTCTAACTGGTGGCAAAATCAGGGTCTTAAAAGGAAAATTAATTAGTGTAAGAAGCGGATTTATGCACAACACCTGGCTGCTGCTGGGCTTATCTATGTAGGGATTTATCTGGTGGAGACAATGTGGTGTAGCAATAACACTCTACAACAGTTGTAACCAACCCTACATGGCACAGAAGAAGAGCTAACCATGAATAATTACTACAGAAAGGGAAGTTCTTTGCTAAAGAAAGAGGGTGACACAAAGTACTACAAAGCATATATTAATACTTCAGCAAGAAAAGTGCCTACATGCAATAAACTGCAAAAATGCAGATGAGAAAAAGCTGGAGTGAGAATAAATTTCCTAGGAAATACTCTAAAAAAGAGACCAGACTGAAAAAGCCAAAAAGTACATACAATAACATACAATATTTCTGAGCTAAAGTATATGATCTTCCTGTCCATGATGTGCAGTGAAAGAGGAAAGTACGTGAGAGATGCTGAAACCACTGTGAACGTTTTTTATTTTTTGTTTTTCCATCAGAGCTCTGCACTGAGCATCCAATCCATCCTCCCTGATGAGCACACCACCGAGGTGGGGGGACACACCATATGTCTCACTTTAACTCTGTAAATTGTGTGCTGTGACGTGAGTGGGACTGCTCCAGCGACACAGGCAAGCTCCAGGTCCAAGGATTGGTGGGAATGGGGATTACAGCACACGCTGCAGCTGCTCTGGGAACAGGCAGAGCTTCAGCCAGGGCAGCACAGCCCTGCTCAGCCTCGCAGTCCAGCTGGTCACAACCAGCCTGGTGAGTGCTGTAACCTGCATGGCTCAAAATTTTATTGGAGCATTTGTAACACAAATGTACTTTTTCCATACTGCTTCCCTCCACAGCACAGCAAATTTCAGGTTCTAAAAGAAACGTGTAAATCCATAGCAGCAGAAACTTGATGACATTTTTATTCTTGTTACTGGCAAGCCTCATGTAATGCCAGTGGCATTAATCCCAATGTTCACTAGCAAAAGGAACTAAGTCCTGGTAAATTCAACCAAGCTTTACGCTGAAAGGGAATTCTGTATTTACCTTATATGATTTGTTTCCTCTCTTAACAAGAAAAGCATTTGTGGCATTCATGGCAAAAAAAAAAAAAAATTATTTTTGGTTCACCACCAATGACCAGCATAAAAATGCACAGGAAAAAAAAAAGTCCTCAGCATTCTGATTACTGCCTAGTTATTCCCCAACCACATTTAAAACTGTAGACTGCCCATTCCAGCATTTCAGTGCAATTTTTATTGACCTACTAACCTGCAACTCTGGGAAGCCTGGAGCTAAGAATGCAATAATGGCCAGCAAATACAAGTCTCCAAACAGAGTGTAATAACCTTAAGTAAACTACTGCCAAGCAAAAGTCCTGCAGATCAAACAGTTCCCACGAAGCCTTATGCTATTAACTAGCAAAAGAGTCCCATGATATCTCCATAGTCATGCACAGTAACAGAACACTGTGCTTCTGTTTACTTACATAGCTTATCTGCAATCCAGTAATGTATACAGCCAGCCCCTCCAATGTAAATCACTTCTCTATTTCATTATATTTCCCTTGTTACAACTTTGCTTCCTAATCATAAACAGAGGGTTCATCTGGAATATCTGGTTTTAAGGGATGGGCAGTGGACACTTACAAAGCCATTTCAATAAGGGACTCTATACGGTTACATGGAGAAAAATAATTGTTAACACACAAGATAGTTTGCAACAGTATGGTATGTACGTGGCTCTGCATTTTTCCTGCTGGAAAGCCCACTCACACTTACTCCACCTTATTTCTGTCATTCCCTGGGTAACCTCACCTCGGGAGATGGATAGTGCAGCTAACATCCCACCAGAGCCAAAGAATCAACAGCTAAAAGCCTCACGGCCAGCAGCTGGTCACTCAACACTCTGCGTTTACCTTACACCCTACTGCTTTGTGTACTTCAACTCATTTCAGAAAGATCTCTTCTCTAGCTAACAGCCTTCTTCCATGGGGACAGTCTGCATCCAGCCACCAGTGCAGTGTGCAGGTGCCAAGCCTTAAACAATCAGGAATAAAATTAAAACAGAAATAAAACTCATTAGGATGCTCCTTCAAGAGGCACAGAAGGGGAACAAAATCTCCTGCCTCTGAAGCAACAGGGCTGGAATGGAGACCCGCGGGCCCATTGCCGGTGGATCAGGGAGGAAAAGGCAGGGGAAAAGCGGGTTGCCCTTCTCTTCGGGCAACGCAGGGGGCCGTGCGGGCTCCGGCCGGGCCGGTCCCAGCCCGCCGCTCCAGGACCGGCCTCCTGCCGGCGCTGGCTGCGGCACGGCGGCGGGGCGGGGAGGAGGCCGGGCCGGCGGCGGGATGCGGCGGCAGGTGCCTCCCCCCGCCCGCGGGCCGCGCCCGGCTCCGCGCAGCAACGCGGCCTCGGGCGGGGGAGCGGCGGCGCCGCCGGGGCGGGCGCGGGGCGCCGGGGAAGGGGAGGAGACGGCGGCGGCGGCGGGGCGGGCAGGAGGCGCGGCGGGCAGGTGAGGGAGGGAGAGAGGAAGGGATGGATGGATGGATGGATGGATGGATGGATGGATGGATGGATGGATGGATGGATGGATGGATGGATGGATGGATGGATGGATGGATGGATGGATGGATGGATGGATGGATGGATGGATGGATGGATGGATGGATGGATGGATGGATGGATGGATGGATGGATGGATGGATGGATGGAGGCGCGGGAGCGGCAGCTCCTTACCTGGGGCGCGGTGGCGCATCCTGCGGCGGGCGGGGGCCGCACGTCGCGGCGGGCCGGGGCGCCCCCCGCCGCCGCCCCCCGCCTGGGCAGAGCGGCTGCCGCCCCCCGGGCCGGCCGCCCCGCCGCCGCCGCTCGCCCGCTCCGCTTTGTTCCGCCGCGGCGGCTTCTCCTGCCGCTGCCGCCGCAGCCGCGGGACGCTAACATGTGCCTGGGGAGGGCGGGCGGCTGCCCGGGGTGGCACTTTCGGCGGGGCGGGGAGCGCGGCGGCCGGGCCCCTCCGCCCCCGGCCCCGCGGAGGAGCGGGGCTGTCAGATCCAGCCCATCTGCCGCGATCGCAATCGGTCGCAACTGAATGGCTCCGGCAAATCTGCGGCGGCAGCAGGGGCTCGCCGCGGCGGGGGGGTGCGGGAGGCCGGGCCATTGTCTGCGGCGGCCCCCGGGTGCCCCCGGGCTGGGGGCGGCGGGCGGCTCTGCCCGGGCCGGGGCTCCGCTTGGCCGCAGCCCGGCCGGGCAGCGCTGCCTCTGCGGCATTGCACATCGCGGGGAAAACCTTCCTTCCGCGCAGCCCCGAGTGGGATGCTCGGCTCGAGTGGATGCCGTCCCAGCTGTCCTCGAAAGTTAGGAGAGAGGACACGCGGCGTGGTGGGGGCGCCGGGATGAGTTGGATGCAGCGAGGGGCAGCGGCTGTGCCCATAGAGCTGCTAAGGGCCTGGTGTGCGACACACAGGTGAAAGAGTTCTGATGGATGGAGACTCACAGGCACGACCGGCACGCTTTTAAACATCGTAGTATATGAAAAAGCAGCTCCAAAAGAGTCGCTGAAAGCTTTGGCATCTGTTAATCCAAAAATAGCAAGTAAAAATTTTTTTCCTTTTAGAAGAAAATCTAACTGGTACTTGATACAGTTATTTGTAGATACGTGGTGTGTGTAAGAGAACCTAAGTGAACAGTGAGAAAAAGTTCAGGCAGGATCTCCCAGTCCAATGAGAGAAAGTGAGAGATCATGGAAACAAGGTGAGAAAAACTCACATAATGCAAATGAGAGACAGTGGGTACACTGGAGTGAAGAGACTGCAGGAACCTGGGTGCAAAGTAAATCCTCATCTATGGTGCTGAGACAAGAAGCAAAAAGTGGAGCTCTATCTGAGAATCAAAGAGGAGCAGAACTTCAAAAATGAAGGTGGCAGGAGTTCTCATGGATTTTGAATTTAGAGATTTCTTAGCAGAGGAGCTCAGAAGAATAAATAAATCATTGGATAATGCTCAGATTTTGATTAACAGATTAGCCATGTCTGAAGACAGTGCAGTAAGTTGCAGAAGGGATCTCTTTCTGTGGTGGTACAGAAAACAGTCTTTGCAGCTAAATGTCTTGCTGTGGTGTCTTGATTAAACCCATATCCAGATCTCTTAATGCAGATTTTGTTCCAGGTTGGCAATTCCTTTATCCAGTGTGAAATGAGAACCTCCAAAATTGCTTGAATCTGTCAAACCTATAAGTTTGTCCTTTCCAGGACACAGGCACCTTGCTCTCCCCTAATGAGACACAATTACTTCATTTTCTGAGGGCTGATTTAGAGTCCTGGTCTAGTCAAAGATCTTGGGTTTAATTAACTGTAATGGGGTGAAGCACTGTGAATCACAGTAGATGGTACAGTGATGTTCTTACATACTGCAAATGTGTGACAGAAAGGTGCAAAGCAGCATGAGGCAGGAACTAATCATGGTACAAGAGGTCCTCTCCAAATCCAGTAGAATTTGGGGTCTCCAAAGAGATTGTTATTCTCCATTCAAATATGATTTCATCATTTAAACAATGACCCTGTCTGCTGATGTGTTTTAACTGCTTTGTCCTGTAGGAAAACACCTTGAGCAACTCTTGTAATAGCCAGTTTTACCTACTGAGTAGAAGATATGTTAATTTCCTGTTTAAACAGTAAAAAAAACCAAAAAACAAAGCAAACAATAAAATGTAATCACACTCTAATGCCTGTTGCTTGAATAGACAACCTAAACCTCCTATCCAGATTCTTTCCTAATTAGTGATGGAGACTGCAAATGCAGCATGGTTTTTGAGACCTGGATAATATGCGAGTGGCTGCGCTGGATCTGTCCAGAAAGTCTGTATTTCGGTGTCATTTCACTGGCAAACCCCAAATATCAAGGGGAAGATCCAGCACTTCACCTCTCTCCAACCCCCTTGAAGCTCAGGGATCTCCTGACCCAAGCTTGCCCTCTGTGTGTTCTCACTAGCTCCCTTCCATGACTGTCCAGCCTCTGACTGAACCCACATACACTTTTAAAATCCGTGGTGCAGATGCTCTGATCCTTGTTTAGATGAAAAGCCTCCCTTTCATTTGTTTTTCAATGTGCTGCCTGTTTTCATCCAACAGCCTGTATTTCTTGCACTGAAAGAAGCAGTGGACAAGCAGCTCCTCTCCATGCTGCTCACACTTGAGCTGTCATTCCCCTGCCTGGGTTCCTGCTGTTTCAGACTGAAGGGTCCTAGTTGTCCCATAAATGGAAACCAACTCCTGCTTATGATTACCTTTTTCTGCCCTCCCCTGAACTGACCCAGTTTTTTTGCACCTTTTCTGAAGTGGGGACAAGAACTGCAACTGGTACTCCAGATGTAGAAAAATCAATGGCAATATCATGGTCCCTCTTAGGAGTGCTACTGCAGATCTTAAAATACTATCCTAGTCAGGGTCAAGTCTTTCTATGAAGTCTGCAAATTATTACAGGAACAAAAAAAATTTTTTTTAAAATATTGCCAGTTTGTTAATTATTTTCAGGCCTAAGCTTACATTCACTGAAATCAAGAGTGGCAGACTTGGTCACTTACTCTGTAACTAGAAGTGATTTAGCATTGAAAGGAACCAATATTTATCTACAACTTAAAGCTATAATTACAACTTGAAAGTGTTTTTAATGCACATTAAGCCGCACTGTATCTGACTGCTGCGATACTGTTCTTCTGTGTCTCTTCAAGATTAGTAGTATCTCAGTTTCATACACAGCAACAAGTATACGTTACAAATCATTATTTCTTGTCCCTAGGCTTGCACAATTTTGTCTAGCATAGGCATTTGCAAGATAATGCACCAGTCTTCAAACAAAATTCATGACTTGGCTCACCATTGCTTCTGAGAGATACACAAAACTGCAGTGCTCATACTTCAAAACACTAAAATGAAGTAGATGATAGCATTAACTCAATACATGGCTGGTAGCCATAGTTTTAAATTAACCAACCTAAAATCTGGCATGGGCAAATGCATGATTTGGGGGATTTTGTTTCATTTTCTCAGAGTCACCAAGCTACCATTGGAGGGACAGATACTTCCTAAAATGATTTCTGATTCTCAGCTGAAGGGTCAAGTGCTGCCACTTGCACATTTCCACATTGTAGAGCAGAAGTGAATTCGTGACTTTGCTGTCACAGGGAGGGCACAGATTTGGCCATTTTTTTCAAAAATTTGCAGCTGTTATTAGGGGAAAGGAGGAGAGGAATTGAGAGTGTTTACATCTCTGGTGTGTTTTTGGACCAATTTCTCCCAGGACTCTTCAGGAAGATAGATATTTCCTTGACATTTGAATTCTCCCAAGCATGAGGAGTGGAAGATCATAAAAATACAGGAAGTACATATGTTGTAGGAGCCACAACATATGTACTTATGTCTTTCAAAAGGGCTTCAGAGGCTTTTGGCTTGCCTGGCAGAGGACTAAGTACATACTGAATGAAAAACAATAATGGATTTATTATAGCATTATCGAGAACTGAACTGGGAAGATTTATTAAGGTAGTATCAAACTTCCTCATTACAGGGCATAGGAGCACTTGCTGATTCTGGCAGAGTGTGGAAGCAAGTCATCTTCTCCCTCTGCCGTCTTTAAAGGTGTTACATAAATGACAGCAAACTGAATAACCTGCAAAAGCTGGCATCTCCTTACTGCAAAGCATTTGGTGGAGCTCAGTCTGGGGTTTTTATTTTTTGCTTATTTGAGTTATACTTTCTGAATTCTGCTTAGCTAATCAGGTGGTAATAAAACTAAGAGCCCTGAATTTTGCAAGCTTCTATTAAATTTTGAAAATCTCAGGGGAGTATCTACATAAGCAAGAGTTAGCAAATTGTGAGCTACGCAGATTTAAGTAAGAGAAAACTATGCTCATATCTTTAATATGTGATGAATGCTGCTTTATATTTGAAACCTTGTCCCCAGTGGAACTTATTACAATAATGTTTATACAGGTTTCTGCTATAAATGCATGATATTTTCCCTACAGCAGAATATGTTGGAATTTATTCTTGATTTAAAAAAAAGTCTGAATGGGTGATATCCCAGAATCTGGATTGCTATAGGCACTATTATGCCCTTTTGTTAACAAATGAAGCAATGAAAAATATAATTTGTTAACATAAAAAGGTCTTTGTACAGTGGGCAGAATTGATAAAAAATACACCCTGAATCTCCTGCAGCTCATGGGAACTGGAAGCCAACCAAGTCCTACAGAACTCAGGGAAACTGGATCTTCAGGTGCCAGTCTCACACAAAGCCTGGATAGAGGTGCTGACTGCTGTGGAAAAAAGCAGGAAGATGACAGTGATGGATCAGGATGCAATTAAATAGCAGGAATAACTGATGTCACAGCAGTATTTGGGCTGCACAGGAGTCCTGCTTTCAAATCAAGCAGTATTTGTCTTGTAACAGGCCCAGCCACATGACACAGGGTTTACATCCACGGTTTTCTTCGTTGTGAAAAATGCAGTAGTTTCATCAGCACAGGAACATTCATGTACTTTAAAATGAACTGCCTGGAGAAAACAGCACAGAGCCCTTCTCTTCTGCTCACATTGCCACTGCCAAGCTCCTGAGAGAGGACATAATTTACTTTATACTGTGGTGTGGCAAGGGCCAAGGAGAGGAGTTGGAGAGGAGACATCCAAAGAAAGGTCATCTCTTCTACCTCATCATGGCATGAACTGTAGACACAAGAAAACCCTCTCCCATCACGCTGCATGGGATAATGTTGCCACCAAGCATGTTTTAAGCCATAGAGCTTTTTAAAGATTCAAGCAGTGATGTGGGAACTTCATCCCTCAGACTGAACAGGCTGACAGTACACAGTGCTGAGACTGAACACAGCAAAACTCTGACTTACACATGGATCTCTTTTACAAGCTCCATTACTTTCCTTTGCTAAAAGGGAATTATATTATTTCTTGTTGCGTCCTTGGGGCTGAGGAGATGAAAACCATTTCACATTTTGTGTGGAACAATGAGGCCCTGTTCTCACTTGGCATCTTAAACTCTTGCTTTAATATAACTTAGGGAAAAAAAAAAAAGGTTGAGCATTAACGAATGAAATAAAAATGCTAAACTAGATTATTTAGCTTCTCTATCAGAAGTAAAAGTCATTTACAAGGAAAGGTGCTAATCTGACTTGCATAACTTCATGTACAATTTCTCAACCTTTTCTACATCTGCCATCAGCGGTGCCCTGTAGACTTCATCAGTGAAACAGATCAGTAAGGTACCATTCCTTTGAAAATAGCAAATTTATAAATTTTCCTTTTCTTTCATAAACCCACCATGCCATTTAAAACCCTGTCTCATAGCCCATGACTGTGCAGAACTTATTTCTATAATACATTTTGACATCCTGGTTTTATAAGGGCCTGAATTCTCAGTTGTTGCCTTGATGTAAATGTATAGGCAAATCTATAGGTAAATCTATTTTCCTCTGCCAAATAGGAGCCAGGGTTATCTGTGTAAAGATAAGTTGTTCAGTCTTAGAGAAGACTTCAGGGAAATGCCACCATTACTTATTGAAATTATTCTTTACTCTGTGAATAAAGCCAATAACATAATTGGGATTATCTGAAGAGTGAAATATGATTCAATTTGAGTAAGCATGGCTGTGTGCAGACATTAGTGGGAGAGTAAATTCAGCACCAAATAATAAAATGAGACTGTGGTCAGCTTCCTTTTGGAAACGTTTGATTTCTGAAGAAGAACGCGGTAATCTCAGAGCATCGCCACCCGTTAATTACGTATTCCTTTCTTTGGGTCGTTGTGTGGAGGAGATCTCGGTTTCCCCTCTGGGTGCTGTGAGAGGAGCAGCTGCCCCGAGGTTTCCCTGCAGGGCTGGGGTGGGGTCAGTGCTGTTCCCCCATGCAGCGACGCAGCAGTTGTGCAGCAGTTGTGCAGCGCCCGGTGCTGCTACCTGGGCCAGGCTGCTCTGCAGGGGACAGACAAACTCCTGCCACTCGCACTTAGCGTCAGACAAAACCACTTCAGAACAGATTTTTTTTTTTCCCCCTAACCCTAAATAGCCACTACAGTAATATGTATATCTGCATACACAAAAGAGTTTGTTCTTAGGAGAAATCTTAAACAAATGCAGAACCATGCCAGGATTATACATTTCATTTCCCAGCATACAAATGAGGAACTAATTTAGTCTGGGCTGTTCATGCATTTTGCTTTTAACAAACATCCATATGCCAAATAGACCTTCCACATACTTCCCTGCTGGAGTTTTTTTCCTTTCAACTTGGTAGGGAACATTTGTGATCCTTATTCTACCAAATATATCTAAAGAATATATTTTGCTCAAGGCCTTCTGTTTTATAATTTAAGAGAAACAAAATCAATTCATGGCTCAGGCAGTCTCACTATTATGACAAGTATACATCTGTGCAAAACTACCCCAATCCCTAATTAATTACAGAATGTTATTAACATTTTATAATTTAGCATTGGTTAATTTATTTAATTTTATAAACACAGCCATATGAAGTTACTTTTTATGGACCACTTTTTCATCTTTTGCATGCAGTTCTGAAATCTGGGTAGTTTAGCATAGATACAGAGATATTTGCTTGTATCAAGATTATTTTCTGTTCAGATAGTTCTCAGTCCTTTATGTAATGACTTCAATACTGAGGCTTGACACTTCACTCCTGACTCGTGCAGCACTGATGAGCAGTGTTAATGGGAGTTTTTTCCAATTAGAGGAAACAGGCTGAGAGCCATGTTCTTTAAAATTAATACTTTTATGAATATATAATGCCAATCATATTTCTCATTTACCAGGGCACATCAAGTTGAGTTTAATTTTAAGTCAGCTTAGTAAATACTTGGCAAAAATGTGCCCTGCTGGAGTTAAAATAGCTCATGGCTGAAAGAGATTTATTTATTGATCTGGTAAAGAGCTGCATATAAAATTGCTATCAACTTTAATCAGATGAGGACAATTATTTTATATGACTAATTAGTGGAACTAATAAAAAATCTGAGCAGGTATAAACTTCTGTGAAGCATTTATATTTGTTCGAAAGACAGTGATTGGTCTTGATTTGAACATTGAGATAAATCCTCAAATAAGCACTGTTTCCACTGCAGCTTCAACAAGAGTTTGAGCAGCTATTCAGCCTGTGCTTACACATTCAGAATTTATACTGGATTTGCATAGTCCATCAGGTCCATTTGTAATCTTTAAACTATCTTCTCTTACTTTTCTATGACCCTATTAAAAATAGAATCTAAAAGGCAAACAGTAAAACCCTTGCTTTTCTCAATATTCACTATTCAGATTGCTCTCACCCAATTTGGTCCTGAAGAAGTATCTTTTATATACATGGACATGATACTGGGGAGTCAGACTCATTCACAGATAATAGGATGACAGTGCTTTTTGTGGCCTTTTTGTAACTACATCTGCACTGCTCACTGAACCATCCACATTTATACTCAGCTAAAGAAAAGCATGTTTGGCCAAAAATAAGGTACATTTTTAATTGGTATCCTCATGTGCATATTTAAACACCAATCCTCTGTAGAAATGCTCATCTGAAGCAGTACTGGGAGCTCCATACTTTGTAGCTTTATATAGTTTTCATCTACATTTTTGTGTGTTTTTCACACATAAGGTCACAAATCAGAAACCTCAGCTTTAGAGAGATGTGTACATTACTATGTTAGTTGGAAGAATCTGAATTAGTACCTGGTGACTGAATGACTCCTAATTGCCAAACTCAGTTCTACTCTATCTCATTCAGCTTCAGCTTCAAATACTAAGGAAACTAAAAGGAATCAATGTTTGCATGGGTTTTGCAAGTTTATCATATGCATCTAGCAGTGCTGTAGAGATGTAGGAAAAAGGCCTCAAGAAAACACTACCCCAGCAAAACCAAAGACTGATGAGGAGACAAGAGGCTGCCTTGGGTGGCGAATAGCACTAAAATCCTTTTTCCTGGCTTTATGTGTTGCCAAGATGGTATGACCAGACAGGTGGATCAAGAAGCCTCATACTCTTACCACACCTCACCGCACCACACCAACCTCTAATCATACACTACAACAACAATTTTGGAAGATAATTCGTTCCAAATACAGTCTATGACTTAAACTAGCCTCACAGAGCAGAGGCAATGTTTGTTATGAAAACTTCCAGATTGGGCTAAAATGGGGGTTTGGCCCCAAGACCTGGCTGCTTACACCTTCATTCCCCTTGGGCCAAGTTACTAAGCCCTGGCAAGGAAAAGATGCTTGTGCAGAGAATGACCTTATTTAGTTGGGGCAGCATTTGATTTTTTTCTCAGCCTTCATTACTGTAATATCATACACAGGGTTTTTCCTTTGTGTGCCATGCAATTTATTCCCCTAAGATTAGTCTTTTTCTAGTCAAGCAGTTTAAAGCTAATCACAGTTGTTATTTTAATCTGTGCTCACCATTAAGAATTCTCACTGAACTATTTTGCTTGTTAGCAATTAAGGCTTCCCAATGGAAGTTCATGATTACAGCAAAGGCAACCTGTTTAATACTTGGCACCTCTTTAGTACACAGGCATTAAAACCAGGAGCACAGAAGCATGCTAATGCTGCTGATGAAAGCAGAGCAGATCTATTGAAGAAACTCTGTTTTGAATATACAGCATAGGAGAAATGCAATGCAATGCTCATGTGCAGTTCTGGTCCCTCCCCTCTGTGTTTTACATTGCTGTAGTAAGGTGGGGAAGTGCTGTTTGACCTTCATTAACTGATTACATATTAGTCATGTCTGAGCTGCAGCATATCCTCAGGCTTTCAGCAAGGCAGACTGAAGTGTTGGTCCTGGTTCCAGTACCAAGACTAATAAAATTCCCTGGAAAGGTCTGAAGACCAAGGTTTAACCTTTGTTTATTCAGGAAAGCATCCTATGTTGAGTTATGACTTCTGACTTCTTTCTTCTGTTAAGAGAATTAGTAATTGCTGCCACTGATCAGTGTGTCAAGGCTGAAAAATTAAGATCTACCATCAAGTCAATTAGCAAAGACTACAGGAGCAAATTTATGCTTCTCAGTTGATTGTCCATGTGATTCTGCCATAAAAAACTGTACATTAGCTGAACTAAAGCATTAAATTACTAGGTATAAAACATTGCAAAGGGATTCCATTCACCTGACCCAATTCTGTCCTGTTTAAAGCTATTTTCAGACAGGGTAGGGCAGAAAAATCCAAAATAATATTTTCCTTTCTTTTTTAAACTGGTACATGGACATGCACAACCACTACTGTACATCACCTGCAATGGTAAATGTTGGTGATTTACATTTATGGGGGTCAAATTTGTCTTGTGTTGGGTAAATGTGTTTAGCTCCAAGCTGAGAAATAGGGGGACCAATGACAAGTCAACTATGCTATCAATAATGTGAAAATAACTACTGTAAAATGTCCAGTGTAAAAAAATCTGTGTTAATAACATCTCCACAAACTACCAAGGTACTTGCCTCGTTCTAGTCAAGGTTTTAAGAAGAAGGAATCTGAAGCTGGGTTAGAGGTCTGCTTTAGTGGAAAGCCATAAAACGTGACCTAACCATTGCCAGTCCTCCTGGGACAGCAATTACAGCAATAAATGTTCCACAGCAGATGCTAATGCTGTGTATAAACAGTTGTCCTCCAAACTGAAAAGAAATTTTGGCCCCCACATGTCTTTTAGGGTCCCGTTGTATGTGTGGAGATGTAAAGGAAGTGTAAAATTGATGTGCACACCACGGCGTTGGGTTTAGTCCCCTCTGCCTGGGCCTGGGCACTATAAATCTGTGCTGGCTGTGAGTGGGGCTGGAGGAGCTAAATGGGCAGGATTTGTGTGTGTCAGATTGATGGGCTCACCCTGAGTACCGTGGGGGTTCTCGGTCAATGTCAGGTTCAGCACCCGCTGACCCACTGGGCTCAGAGCATGGCAGTCACAAATCAGGAGCAGAATGAAGCTGAGGAGAGGGCTCTGCTGATTTATTAGGACATCTGTCTGGCTGTACACAGCTCCTGTGTAGTGCCAGCTATTAGCATAATCCTCACCATGAAACTTCTCAGAGATTTAAAAGAGTGGAATAAAGTGTTCAAAGAAGACTGGTTAAACCAGAAGGGTTTTTCTTGTAGTGCTCATTACCAGTCTTAACTTTTTATGCCAACACCCCATAAAAATAATAATAAAAATAAATAATGTTAAAAATAAATTAATGGGTTTGGTTTTTCAAAACCACTGAATTTTCAGAACATGTCTGTATGTCTATTTATTATAAAGTCACTACCCTAGCTACTTTTCAAAGACTCTAAATATTTTAATTTTTTATTATTCATTTATATTTAACCACAATAGTGTCATCTGCATATGCTATCACCTTCATTCTTACTAAGTTAGTCTCCTGAATTCTGTAATGTTAAATGAAAACTTCAATTTTTTGTAGCCAATTATATTTGACTACTTTTTAAGAAAAGGGGGAATTAAGCACAAGCTTTAGGAGTTTGCCTACAAGTAAGAGTCAGTATCTTAATGCTGTAAGCTGTAAATGATGTGATACTACTTTATATTGTATAGGTCAAGAAGTTTGTGAGGTGCAGAACAACTAATACTGGCATGTGCAAAGTTGCTCTTTTTTGTACATGAGAGGCATTCACCTGAAAAATCAGACAGATCATTATTTCTCACTTGATCAAAACTAA